TCTAAGTAGAAAAAAAAGAAAAACAAAAAGGAAAAGGAAAAAAAAGAAATATATTACCTGAGATCATAACATTTTCTCTGTATTTTTCCTAAATGATTTAATGATTTAAATTTAAATGATTTAAATTTTGTGTTTTAAATTTAATTGTTTAATTATCCTGAGACGGAATTTTATGTATAAGATATAAGGTTCCAATTCAAGTGTTTTTTTTCCATATGCATAACCAACGGAATAGTTTATATTTTTCTCTCTACTGTGCAGATACTCTATAGATTTTATATTTGGGCTTTCTGTCCCATTCCATTATTTAATTTGTCATTTGTGTAGGACTGTGCTAGTAGCACACATATTGTATTTTTTTATTTCCAGAAATGTAGCAGTCAAGACTATATAATTAGGACTAACTTAACCTTCAGAAAACAAATATTTATGAACATACAGTATGTGCATATATGTGAACATATGTGCATATTGTGTGATATGTATATGTGTGTGTACATGTGCATATAGTGTGTACGTGTGTATGTGTGTATACAGAGAGAGAGAAAGTACTAGGTAAAAATCCAAGGAAAAATGGCATTCCAAAGTAACAAATAGAATTTCTGCCCAAACTACTTTTGCCCTCAGCTGTTTGCCAACCCAGACAAACTTGAACTTTGATTCTTAATAGTTTGTCACCATTGAGGCAGACAGCAATGAAAACTCAAGACCTTCTGAAAACAAGGGATCTTCTCCACTCTAATTTGTGACACCAAAGAGTTTCACAATCAAAGTAAAAGTAGACCATATTGTTGATGACCTTAGGAGCATGTCAGAAACAATGGTACATCTATACAGAATATGTCTTTGTCATAGGCCACAGATAACCCCCAATAATAGAATTTTAACCCATACTATCAGCACCCAATGAAAAATAACCAAGCAAATAAAAGGAGAAAAGCCCCATTAAAGAGGATACCATAGATTTCAACTATGAAAAATATCAGACACATATTACAAGGCAATGATGCATACTATATGTATAAATATAGATACATATGTATACTTATACTATATAGTATAGATACATATGTATATAACAAATACAGTTATATATACATATATATATCTCTCTGAATGTAAGGAGAATAAAAAATCTGTCACAATTGTATAAGCCAGCAAAATATTAATAGCTTAAAAGTGACAATTTACAATAGCAAACAAAGCTGTGGATTACCTGTTATCTAATATAATAAATTATATACATAAATTTAATAAAGAAAGCTTCAAAGTGCTTGTAAAAGACATTCATGTGTATATGCATATGGAAGGGTAGAGCAAGAGAAAAGGAGAGAGACAGATTCCTACGTAGACAGCTCTATAGATCTATTTTGGTTTTGTTTTTCCAATTATTATACACTTCATTGTTACTAAAGTACAATTTTAAATAGATTATGTTGAACATTCTTTCTCACTTGTAATTCTAAAAAAAATTCTAATATATAAGCATTAAAAATAAAGCATCCTTTACCTTTTTGTTGGACCTTCTTTATCAGATTAATCAAGTTCCCTTCCATTCCTAGCTTGTTCATAGTTTTATTATAAATAGGAGTTGATGTTTCCCAAATTTTTCTCCATCTAATAGAAATATGTTTTTTCTTCTTTTACCAGTTAACTATGTTAACATACTTTCTAATGTTAAGCAATTCTTGCATCCTTGCAAGAGAAACAATACTGGATGTAAAACTTGATGAATTTGGTAACAGTACTGTATAATGAATTTGGAAACAATACTGTATGTTAAAACTTTATGAATTTAGTTTGTATACATATCATTTTTCTTTCTTGTACCATCCTTACTTTTTGGTTTAAATTAAATAATATAGCTGGAGAGTTATTGTTTTTCTTTTTAAAAATATCTGCAAGATTTTATAAAAGATTAAAATTGTTTCCTGAACATTTTGATAACTGTGCTGTGAAATTATCTGAGCATTGTGATTTTTTAGTGAGGGAAGCATTGGGAAACTCATTCTTCTTTTAACATACTACAATCATCCTTTCATCGTCATTACTCTGACACCATTTATTTCAAGGTGACCATCGCTTCCATCTTGCCAAATCCCACGGTAAATTCCTAGCCTTCATCTTAACTTTCCAACATTCTTCTTATGGAGATGTCCTGATTAACTAGATAAAAGAGTGCCCCTCTCCAGCCTTTCCACTATGACTCTTAATCCCCTTGTGATTTTTTATTTTTCTTTGTTGTACATATGACTAATTGAAATTTTATATTATACATTTGTTTATTGTGCCTCTTTTTAATAGACTTGAAAAGTTACGGATTTGTCTTTGTTTTATACTTCTACTGCCCAGAATATATGGGAACTGTTATATATGCAATGCATATGTTTGCTAATGTGATAAAGAGTTGTAAGGATTCAAGAATCTCATATGCCATTAATATGTTAAGCAAGGAGTAGCTAAACTTAGATCTCTCCCGACTTCCAGATCACAGACACTTTGGAATTTTCTCTTACTAAACATTAGTTGATATATTAAATCTATTAAATACCTTTGATCATTTGGCAATTACCTGCAAACATATGCATGCAAACATCTCAAAATTTGTGTCTCATTATAGAAACTTGAACTTTAATGATATGTGTTCGTTAATATAATGTACATTTTAATTTAATAAAATTTCAGAATGTGCTTTCAATTTTCTTAGTACCTCTGAAGAACATACTGGGAACATTATTCTACTATTGTTTTGATTTCAGGCTGGGCAGCAGCGTTGGTGGGAGCAGGAGATTAAAATAAATGGGAATATTCAAAAGGGAGAATTAATTACATATAACTTGACAGAGCTAATTAAACCAGAAGCTTATGAAGTCCGACTGACTCCTCTCACCAAATTTGGTGAAGGAGATTCAACAATTCGTGTGATCAAATACAGTGGTAAGTAGCCTTTTATTTAAAATTATTTATATATCAAACCGTATGGAAAATTTTGGTTGCTGCTCTCTACCAAATGTAGACACAAAGTAAAACTTAGCCCATAGACTTTCTGGATCATTAGCCAGTTAACTAAACAAACCAAAACCAAAACCTTAATCACCACAAATGTGACATTTGATTACAAATATAGAGATATAGAATAATTTAATTGTGAACCTATGTGATATAAGCAATGTTTCTTTATTTTTGATCCTACAAGTTATAGTACAATATTTGTCTGCATTTTATCTTTTCAAATTATTAATGACTTTAAAACTTATTAAGAAGTAAAAAAGGATCAAAATGTCATTTTCTGTTTTTTAAATAAAATTAATAGATTTCAGTTTTAGAGCAGTTTAAGATGTACAGAAAATTGGCAGGAAGTATAGAGAGCCCTGTTTCCCTGACACAGTATCCCCATTATTAACATCTTACATTATTGTAGTACACTGGTAAAAACTGATTAACAAATACTGAGAAAATATTATTAAAATCAGTATTTTACATTACAGTTACTTGTGTTGTACAGTTATATGGATTTTGAAAAGTGTATATAATTTCTCCACCATTACAGTATCACACAGAATAGTTTCACTGCCTGAAAAATCCCCATGCTCTACCCATTTCTCTCTCCTTTCTCCAGTTCAGACAACCAGTGATATGTTTACTCTGTCTATAGTTTCTCCTTTTCGGGAATGTTGTAAATTTGGAATCATACAGCATGTAATGCTTTTTAGACTGCCTTATTTCACTTAGAAATACATAAGGTTTCTGTATGCCTTTTTGGGCTTTCATAGCACATTTCTTTTTATCATTGAATAATCTCCATTGCATAAGTGTACTACAGTTTATTTGTATACATATCAAAAGACATCTTAGTTGCTGGATTTTGGTCTTGGTTGTTGGTGGCCATTCATTTTTCGTATTGCTAATGTTAAAAAATGCTAAATGTTTGTGTGTGTGTTAGTCATAGTTTTCTTTTTATTAACTATATGCATAAAATATTTCTTCACTACTTAAATGTCCTATTTGGAGAAAAATAGAAATTAGCGCAGAACTTTGAAAAAGTTAAAAGTAGATCTAAAACTTTTGTCTAGAATTAATACCTCAAAGAGAAACAACGGCAAGTAGATATATATATATATATTTTTTTTTGAGACGGGGTTTTGCTTTTGTTGCCCAGATGGGAGTGCAATAACACGATCTCGGCTCACCGCAACCTCTGCCTCCCGGGTTCAAGCAATTATCCTGCCTCCGCCTCCCAAGTAGCTGGGATTACAGGCATGTGCCACCATGCTCTCCTAATTTTGTATTTTTAGTAGAGACGGGGTTTTTCCACGTTGGTCAGGCTGGTCTGGAACTCCCAACCTCAGGTGATCCACCAGCCTGGGCCTCCCAAAGTGCTGGATTACAGGCATGAGCCACCGCGCTCAGCCTAGATATGTTATTTTACTGTATACTAAAGAGAGAAATATTTTAAAAATTGAAATTTGTGTGCATTTTAGAATTTTAATATTCAGTGTTAGTTGTAGAATTTTCAATGTATTTCAGGTTTGAATAAATCATTATTTAAACAGTCGTATTTATGGTATTCAGTAGAATACCATAAATATTCAGTAGAATATTATTATTATTATATATATTTTCTTGAGATGGAATCTCACTCTGTCTCCCAGGCTGGAGTGCGGTGGTGTGATCTCGGCTCACTGCAACCTCCGCCTCTTGAGTTCAAGTGAATCTCCTGCTTCAGCCTCCCCAGTAGCTGGGATTACAGGCACCTGCCACCACGCCCAGCTAATGTTTGTACTTTTAGTAAAGAGGGGGTTTCTCCATGGGCAGCCTGGCCTCAAACTTCTGACCTCAGGTGATCCACCTGCCTCGGCCTCCCAAAGTATTAGGATTACAGGCATGAGCCACAGCACCCGGCAGGAACATGATTCTTTTTATCATTGATTATCAGAGCTTGACTTAAAAAGATAATAGAATACTTTGTTTGCAGCTGAAATTCTCCATTGTGTTTACCCTTAAGTATACGTTTCCTGCATAAGGGGGAAGTAGTGCATACTGTCAAATGTGAAAAATGAAGTAAAACTATTAAAAACTCATTAAAGTTGTTTGTACTTATAATTTTTACAAAAAAATAAGATGTATAATGTAGAGTGCATTAATATCAATATTTTTAAAAGATGAAGATATTAGGACCCAGAAAGTTTCAGTGTCCTGCAAAGTTAAATGACTGTGAAATGACAAACCTGACTAGAATTAGGGTTCACCACTCCATTAGAGAAGATCTTGACTTCTTTGCTAAAGTTAATTGATCATTATGACTTTCCTTAAGAGATTTTAAAAAGTTAATTAGCTCAGTAGTTGTTATTGAAAACTCTGAGGCAACAAACTAAAATGAAAAATAGATGTGGAAAATAGATATTACTTTTAATAAGTTTTCAAAATTGTTTTTACATACTTAGGCATACATGTTAAAATCTCCAACATTGTTATTAAAATTATTTTTATGTAATACAGGTTTGGGCAATGTATACTTTAATGGTTTAGAGGCAATGTACTAGTCTGTTTGAGCTGTCATAACAAAATATCATAGTGCGAGGCTTAAACAACACAGATTTATTTCTCACACTTTTAGAGACTGAGAAGTCCAAGATCAAAGCACTGCCACAGTTAGCTTCTGGTGAGAGCTCTCTTCCTAATTTATAGATGGTCACCTTTTCACCGTGTTTTCTTCACATGTCAGAGAGAGCTCTCTGTGTCTCCTCCTCCTCTTATAAGGACACCAATCCAATTGGATTAGGACCAAGATTAATTTAATCTTAATTACCCCCCTAAAGGCTTTATCCCCAAATACAATCACATTGGGGATTAAGCATTGACATACGAATTTTTGTGGGGACACAATAGTCTATAATATGCATTTATAAAAAATTATACATGCAAGTTCAAATGAAAAAAGAAAAAAATGGACTCGCCACAATATTTAGAAGTTAGATTTGCAAATTTTCACAAAGTTAACTGCATTTTGTATAGTGAATTTGGTGACTAAAATGTTGGAGGAGAAGTCTCAATTAAAATTCAATCTGGTAAGAGCTTTACATGTACATATGACATACTTAGAACTAAATTATAATTCAAGGATGCTTACATCTTTGAAAGATAGCACATAATTTTTTAAAATTTTCATATTAACTGTGAAATAATTTTAATTTTTATTAATTTTAAAATTAAAATACACTGATATCTTGCCATAAAATTCAATTGTTCTTTTTAGTTCACTTTCAGCTCCTTTTCTATGTTATTCTTTTCATAATTTGCAATGTAGAATGTAGAATCAAAAACAACTACAGTAATGGGAATTGTCTTCTGTATGTAGGGATAGTGAAAATCATTGAAAAACTTACTCTGTTAAAATTTATCATTTGTATATTAATGTTACAATTATATATGAATATTTTTGCCCATCAGACTTTATTAGTATTGCACAAATTTAATAAAGGTGGTTAATGACAGCCACTAAAAAAATGACAAGTTCTTCTGCACTGTAGATTAACTGCCCATTGTAATCCTGGAAACTAAATTATGCCCATTGTAATCTTGGGGAATTACATCAATGCTCTCTATCATCCAGATTGGAGTATTTTCTCAGAATGATAAGTGGTTAATTTATACATACAGATACTTTGGCCCTTAGATGAGAGGTACTTTTGTTGATGTGTTAGTTATATTTAAAGTATTTGTTTCTCTTTGGGTGGAAATTCATTGGCACTTGTATTGCAAATATAATTAGTGTTCTAGGAAAAACAATTCTTTTGGTACCCCAGAACACAAAATTTGTTGCTCATCATTTTAAAACTCTGTGTGCATGCACTCCTGTGTATGTATGTGTATATTTTAATGTAATTAGACAAAAAGGCATTGATGTAGCTATTCATTTTAGTACACATATTACAACATATCAGGATTGCTTTATTTTCATATGTGCCTTTAACTTTCTGCTTTATTCTCAGTAGAAGTAGAAATCAGCAAAAAACAGAAGTGGAAATTCTGCTAGATAATTGTTTTCATTGTTAAATCATCTAGATTATAGATTGGCCTAGTGTCAGCCTCAGTTTTGATATCTGAATATTTTTGTTTAGTATTAGTTCAGATATTTAAGAGGTCAGAAACTCTATACCTTGAAAAAGGAACATTTCCTGTACTGTTTAGCATTGGTCTTTTTGGTAATTTGAGGCTGTTATTGCTGAGCTCCAAAGCAGATTCTATTCAATCCTCTAAAACAAAATGGATTGCAGATGTAAATCTCAATGGCCACAGTGGGAAAGATCATTAAGTTTTGGTAAAGAACTATGAGACACTGATTAGACTTTTATTTATAAAAGACATTCGAGCCATGCTAACATTGTTTTTTTTTGTTTGTTTGTTTGTTTCTTTTGCTTTTCTTGTAGCTCCTGTAAATCCTCATTTGAGTAAGTATATTTTAACTTACAAAATGGCACTATATTTAATAAATACAAAAATAGAATGTTTATAAATATACAAAGATTGTTTAGTAACTTAGTTGGTTTAAAACACAATGGTTCAGAATCAGTAAAATTGGCATTAAATGTAGATTTTAAATTTCAAAAGATAGGGGTATAAAGACAAATTTTTTAATACTGATAATTGAGGTTTATAGATTTTCCTAAATATTGAAATATGGAGCCATTTACCAACCTGCTTAATACTTGCTATTTCTGCAGCTGTGGGATTATTTTTTTCTTTTGTGGGATTGCATATCATTTTTATTGTTGTTACACGTTTCTTTGATTTTCCTTCTTTGAATTTCTGTATTCCACTTATAAAAGAGTATGGTTACTTAGAAAGTTGGTGTTTGATGGGTTTAATTGAGACTTTCTTTTATAGAACACTAGCTTACACCCCAATGTATTTGGTTTAATTTAGGTTATGAATTCCGTAAAATTGTTAAATTTGGGGACTTCTGGAAAGTTATTTTTATTTTGTTTTATATTAAACGTTATAAGATGATATGTATCTACCTGAAAAATATTCCCATATATTAAAACTTATCTCTCCCTGGAAAATAATTTTTAATCAACAGAGGATTTACTATGAAGACATATTCTAAAATCCGAGCTATTTATTTGTAATTTAAGGTTAGATTTTTTACAAATTTAAGGACTAAAGAGCATCGCGTCGTCTCTGGGTGCAAAAGGATCACTGGGTATCAGGCTTCTTATTCCTGAGTTTTTAATTTTATTTTTTCATCATATTAGGAAGGATTCAGGGAAAATTCTGCAGACCAAATAAAGCAAAATTTTGAAGACCATGTAATGGAGAATATTTAAAATATCTTTAGCTATTTCTATGTAGCCCCAGAAACTCCGCCAAAATCATGCTGAAATTAGAAAACCAGTGGAAAATTCAAGATCCACTCAATTCTCAGTTCTACATCTTTGTGAAAATCCTGGACTTTATTACTTTCCTACTTATAAACTCTTTTCGTATTTTATATTACATTGGCTTTTGAAAAGTTTGTACAACTCATTGCATGATCATTATCTATCAGATATTCTTTATTCAAATAAACTTTTTAAATGATTAAATGTATTTGCACATATTTATAATTGTCTCTTTTTAAAGTGACAGGACAATCATAAAATTCTTGGGTTTTAACTAGTGAGTTTCATTTTCATTTTACCTGCCAACTTTTTATGAATTTTCTTCAGTAATAGGTTTATTTATTGTAAAGATATATGTCCTTAGAAGGAATCAAGAGCTATTGATGTTGCTTAAGTATCTTTATTTGATTTGAATTATTACACCAGTTATAATATTATAAACAACTTACACCATATAAAATAACCTAAACTATGAAAATTTTTAGGCACAACTGACATTTTTTGTAGTTGTCATAATCTGCATTATTGCTTAATTTTACTATGAAAGATTTAAATATTTAAGTCTCAAAAAGTATTGTATGGTTTTTAAAGACAAGATATTTTCTCTTTTTAACCAAGTTCAAATTACAAAAAACAATTGTTCAACAGTGTTATAAAAATTCATTATACATAATTTTAATAACATATAAAAAGGAAGACTTGGCAGTAGATATATAAACTGACATCCTTAATCTTTACATTTGTTCTGTAACTCTTTTTTGTGCATATGTAATATGTAATTAAATAACTGAAAACATTCAAAATCAAACGTTGCCTTTACAGAATTCAAAACTCCAGAGTAGCAACTAATGGAATTTCATGTCATAACTAAAATATCGTTAAAGAAATACATGCATGTATATAAACGCATATACTGCTACACTGCTGTTACCAACATTATTTTTCCAACTGATAGCATCAAAAGGTTATGTCTTGTTTGGTACAAGGTCTGTGACATAAATATGTGTCTAATAAATATTTTATGTATAATATTATTTAGTCGGAAATTTATTGATTTATTTATTTATACTCCCTTAAATATGTATATTTCCTGTAACCTGACCTACCCAGAATATAGAATATAAATAAATACAAAGAGATAAAGCAAGTATTTAGTCTAAAAAACAAAAACAAAACATAAACTCATTTCCTAAATTTAAAGGGAAAGCCTTCTGTTTTATTTTTATTTGTAAGTACCAATAATTTTCAATTAATTGGTACATGATCTCAACCAGGGCTCCATTTCCAAGGATATCTGATAAATCTAACCCCTTGTGGGTAGGTTGGAGATAGACTAAAATGGAAGTATCTGTTCTTTAAGTGTTTATATCTCTATGAATTCCAGGGAATTTGGATTCCGTTTGACTTTATCATTTAATAGCTGACCTTTGCCAGCGTTTTCTCCTCTGTGAAGCCTCATGAGTAAGGATTATTGTGATTTCATAGAGTTGTTATGAGGCTGAGTGAAATAATATACATTACATTTATTTTTTCTCAAGGATACACACTATGTATCTAGTGGACCTTATTAACTTCTTTATTTACACCTGTTTTTTCAAGCAGTAAGAAAACCTTTGATACCTAGAAACATTACTACCACCCACATTTCAGGGATAACTGAAAAAGTCTTTCTCTGAACTTGTGTTGGCCCTGAACTCAACATATGTTAGGCATCCAAGAAATCACACTCCTTCTTCAAAGTCTTTAAAAGCTCTTTTAATTACTTCATTTCCATACTGAATTTCAAGTATCTGGGAAACCCACATTCAGATAAAGTAGGAAGGATAAATACTTTTCAAAATAATTTGCTATTAGCTTGCCCTAAACACACTTCCATTTATGCAAATGGATATTTGAAAGCATCTCCAGACATGGATGAAAAATTATAAACTTAAAGTATACCTATTTAAAACTACCCTCAGGTAAATTAATAAAGGTAATTTTCCTATTGACAGTTTTGTTTTGGTTGGTTCTGTACTGACAAAATGAAAGTTGGGAAAATTCTTCAGCAATAATTCAAGCATAAATTGTATTCTTTAATTTGAGTTATCTGGATATTTTAGAGAAAAATTGTTTGGTTATTCAATGAGATATTAAATTATTCAATGAGATATTAAATATCGGTTTTATGTTTAGTTGTAATCTTATTCACTATTATGGCTCTCATGCCATTATCACAATCTTGCATTATTATTGCTATGTAATATTTTATTTTTTCTTATGAAAATATTGCAGTATGTGTATTAATTTAATTAAAATTTATCAACAGGAGAATTTCATTGTGGATTTGAAGATGGTAATATTTGTTTGTTCACTCAAGATGATACAGATAATTTTGACTGGACAAAACAAAGTACTGCAACAAGAAATACAAAATATACTCCTAATACAGGACCTAATGCTGACCGTAGTGGCTCCAAAGAAGGTATGAGGGTATGACCTGTTGTGTTCATAGCAATCAGAGACTTTTAAAAATTGCTATAAATATGAAATACTATTATTTAGCCATATACTTGAAGATTATGGAATAAAATATTAAATTTTCCATGCATTATCAATTTATTTATAAAACTTTGTAGATATTAATTTTTTCTCAGAACTCACTGATAGGTATAGTAGAGAGAAGAGGAATTTTTTGATAATTCAAGTCTAAATTTCTAATTTGTCCTCAACTTTTTATACATTTTATCTTTAATTTGGTAGATCATTTACTCTTTGTGTTAAAGCCACTATTAGTTACATATACACATACAGATTTTATAAATGAGATGCAAATCTTCCTATCCATCTTTATTTTGTATGAAAACTATAAGACTTCTCAGTGATTTGAAATTTCATTATGCCTAAGAATAATGTGTTTAAACAGTTTATTTTGTCTGTTTTAAGGTTTTTATATGTACATTGAGACATCACGACCCAGATTGGAAGGCGAAAAGGCTCGACTTCTCAGCCCTGTTTTCAGCATAGCTCCCAAAAACCCTTATGGACCCACAAACACTGCATATTGTTTCAGCTTCTTTTATCACATGTATGGACAACATATAGGTGAGATAGCAATAATTACTGATTCTTATAAAATTAATGATAACTAAGAAGAAAAAAGTTCATAAACACACAGCATTAAAACGATTTTTGGTCAAAGAATGCTACAATTTACTTTTTAAATGATTTATCTGCAAATTGCAAAATAAGATACTAAGAAGTTTTTCCCATCATCTAATTTAGATTAGAATTTGACATTTTAGAGCATCACCTACCTCCCTTTGGAATTCTAAATCAGGTAGACCATCAATTAGTTAAATTCTTTACCAGATCTCATAGAATTGACACAGCATAATTTAGGCTGCTTCTTTCCAAAGAAACTTGCTTCGATAGTGATTGAATGCATATTAATCATGATGAAAAGTAACATCATCACGTTGCCATATTGACAGTTATTTTTAGCACCATCCACCTATTTGAAATATTGGTGTGATTTTTTTCATGTTTTTAAAGTATGCCAAACACACACCTAGAATGTTCTAGGTCCTGCACAGCATACAAAGATAAAGACACATTTCCTTCCTTTAGAGACCTTGTACAGTAATAGAGGATAAGATTAGATGCACAACTGTGCCAGATACAGCATGACATTACACTGAGAGTAGACCTAGTAAACTCTGCAGGGAAAAAGATCATGCAGGTCTACCATTCTTTATCTGCAATTCTAAAATCCTGAGAATTGAATATCAATTTTTAAAATTTAATTATTTGACATTACATGTTAGCCTGATATATAAGCTGAACTGATATGAACCTATTTATATTCTCTATCCAAATGAATGTGAACATTTATACCATTTGCAGCAAAAATGTTACTCTTCTTAATAATAGGATTCTACTCCACATCATTCCAGGACATATCACATAACATAAATGATATAATCTCTCACCTTTCTAACATACGACAAAATTCTGAATAATGAAGCATAGAGCTTGAACCAGGGATTGTGGATCTATATCTAGTTAAGGAATGAGTCAGTGCATCAATACAAACGAGAGCATTTCTCTGGGTATGCAAAAGGGGTATGTTTTCAATAAGCAGAGATTAGCACAGGGAAGGTTAAGGCACTGGTAACAAGGAAGTAAAATTTGAGAAGTTAGGATTACATTAGTGTCTTTATATAAATTAATAAAATAATAGTATAAATATATATGATATAAACTAATACAATTGGACACATAATATATATCAGCCACCATATTATTTAAGCTAAGTAATACTCTCAATTAAGTCTGTAAAAGTGAACGTCACTGTCCATCTTTTACCGTGGAGAAAACTGAACCTCAAGAAGTTTGTGTGAACTTCCAAGTAAATGGTTGTGCTGGGATTCAAACTCATACCCAACAGTATTAACTAGTATTCTTCACAGTATACTGACAAGCCTAAATGGATAGCACTCGAGTTTTTTTTGTTTTGTTTTATAATTTATTTTCATTTTTATTTATGAGACAGGCTCTTGCTATGTTGCCCAGGCTGGTCTCAAGCAACCTTCCCACCTCCGCATCTCAAAATGCTGGGATTACAGGCATGAGTCATGGTGCCCAGCCAGAAAGCTCTTGAGAAGTTAAACTACTATATACTTGAAATCAGGAGACCTGGGCAGGAACTTGGCTGTAGCACTTAATCACTATAATACTTTAGAGAAATCACTTAAAATGTCTGAACCTTAGTTTCCCTTATCTGTAAAATGAGACTAATAACTCTTATTTCAGAAAGCTGTAGTTTAAGTTAAATTAGGCAACATACATAGTATCTTCAACCAGATGGCAGACACTCACAATCTTAGGTTACTTTGAATCTGAAAAAGCAATAATAATAGCAATAATAAAGTAATAGTCGACATTTATGAAGTATTCATCGTGGGCTAGGATACTTTGTGGATTATTTCTCTTAATTTTCATGATCAACATTTGTGCTTATTAAAATCATTATCCTGTTTCATAGATAACAAAATTGAAATACAAAGAACTTTAGTTACCATGCCCATCATATGGCTAAGTAGTGAAGCCATAATACAAACATGGGAAGGTGGACAGAGTCTGCCTGTTTTATTACTGCACAGGAACACTTGCTGGAAGATTTTTGCAAGCCTAGCTAAGTATGTGACATTTATTTAGTAGTGGCATGAGTTATTAGACTTTTCCGCAAAAAGCATAATGAGATATTTGATTTAGGGGAAAAAAAACATAAAAATAGGTAAAAATCATTCAGAAACAAAATCTAAACTGGGAAAACTGGGAATCACTTAAAAAACCAATGAAAGGAAACAAATCGCATAATTGCCAAACCATTTTATGTATTGCGGGATTACTATATTATTACTAATGTAGGATTAGCTCAACTCTAATTCTTCCTTTTTGTCAATAATGTATACTCTATTTCCTCTTTATTGTGAATATATTTCATGTACGTTCCTTCTCATCTTCCGATTTACATTGGATCACATATTTTAATTGATTTTTAAATAAATATTTCCAAGACCAATATTTTGAATTACTTTAAGTCATAAAATATGTTCACCTTATTTATAAGACTAGATTTTAGGGCTTTATTTTAAAATAATTTTAAAAATACTTTAAAAATACTTTTAATACATCATTGTAATATACTTTTAACTTAACAGTTTTTAGTTAGTCTTATCTTCTTTATTGTCAATGGATGTTCAGTTGATGTTCTGCTAGTTTTATTCTGATTATTTTGGGATAAGGGCAAATTAGGAGGACAGTTCTCCATTTCTTGGCAAACATTTATATTTTGACCCCTGTGTCATTTCTTTGCTTCATCAGACTGAAGGTTGCAGGCTGGGAATCAGGTCTGTTACTTGGGTTCCTCTCAGCAAGCTGCAGGCATGCTGCTTAGTAAAATCTAGGCAAAAATACCTGTTTCAGACATTGAGTAATCAGTTAAAACTAGATGAGATAGTTCATTAGAGAGATCTGCTGGTAGTTAAAACATTCCCTCTTTGCATATATTATTCTCAGACTTTCATTCATCTGTAAACTCAAGAGGCATTTATAGTCACTGGCTTTACAAATTGTATTTTCAGTTTTAGTCATTCTTTTGGAAACCAGGTTCAAAGATGCCTTGTCTTGAATTTCTAATAGCCTAATTAAATTTATAACTTCTTGAGTAACTGTAAATAAATCTTGCACTTTTAACTGTGACTAAAAGGACGGTATACCATTGAGAAGGTTCAGAATTATCTAATACAGAAATGAGCAATACCCTACTAAGAAGAGAGTTTCCTCTTTGAACCAAAATCAAACATGTTGCATTACTTATTCGCAGTATAACAAATTTCCCCAAACTTTTGTGACTTAAAACAATAAATATTTATTATCTCACAGTTGCTGTGGGTCAATACAAGTATAGCTCAGCTGAGTGCCTTTGGCTCAAGGTCTCTTCTAAGGTTGTAGTCAAGTTTTCAGACAAGGGCCCTGCTATAATTTGAAGACTCAGTTTGGGGAGGATACACTTCCAAGCCCACTTGCTTGATTTTTGGCAGGCTTTGCTCCCACAAGAGATTGGACTATAGATACTGATTTCTTGCTGGCTGTTGATTGGAGGTCTCCCTCAATTCCTCACCATTTGGACATCTCTACAGGGCTGTCGCATGACATGGCAGCAGGCTTTCTTCAAAGCAAGTAATCCATTAATAAGAGAGAGAGAATGCAAGCCCAGCATTTTTCATAACCTAACCCCTGAAGTGGTATCTCATAATGTGTGTCTTGTTCCATTTAATGTGACTGAGTTGACAATCCAAGCCCCTACCCAAGGGAAGAGAAATGCACAAGAGTGTTCATGCTAGGACCTAGGTTGAGTTGAGCTCTGCCACACTGGTACAATTTCTTTTTAGTTAAATGTTTCATCAAAATTGATTGAAGAAAAAAACATGTTTCCAAAGGAAAACTATAATGTTATCCTTAAAGTACCTGCTGATTTATATGTAAGTGATATAATATCTGGCCATTGATAATACTAAAATATTTTTTCAGCATTCCTGTGACTACTAATGGACATTTCAATTCTCAATGAATCTACTGAATTTCTAATGTTCTTGCAAAAAAAAAAAGGGGGGGATCTCATATGATATCACTAGATATGACAAAAGCTTATAAAAATAAGTTAAATACATCATTCATTTCTTTAAAAAAAGAATGTGCAATGTAAGGGTCATATCATACCAGGAAATTAAGGCACTTATGAATACATTCACTATACTTGATACGAATGGTTCAATAAAGTTGTGTCTCTACAAAGCTAATTCTATTATGGAGTAAAGCATAGTAGAATTAGGAGGAAAGCAAAGGAGTTCATTAATGAAGAAGCAGGAGAGTGTAAAAGAACTGATAAGTAGAGAGATGTGGGATTGTAGAGGGGCTTATTTTAAGAGGAAAAAGAGGTAATAAAAAGGGTAAGCTTAGATGAGAATTTAGAGCTCTGGTTGGGAAATGAGACTTGAAGAGAGAAACTGATGCCATTTCCACTAAAGTGGGAAAAAAAGAATTAAGTATTAATAGAAACATAGCTTCTGATAGATTTCTAGCTGCAATAACAGCAAGCTAACATGAAAGTTGCCTTCCTAACAGTCTCTATTTTCTCTACAAAACAGATACAGATGTACATGTTCCAAGAGGAGATAGCTTTAGGAGAGTGGTAAATGGGAGCACAAAGTAATTGACAATATAGACACAGTTGGAGAGGTTGGAGATGAGGACATCAGTCTTTAGGTTTCTGAAATGCATTTTGGAATATAATGGCCAGTTTGAGTCTCCATCTGTGCATAGTACTACATTTCACTTGTTAACTGATTTTCTTGCTGTCTTTTTAGTCCATAGCTTCCAGGGTAAAGATCTTTCTCTAAAAGCAGTAACAGGACCCTAAGGCTATATACCCCGCTGGCTTCTCCTTGGGCTAACTTCATAGTCTATTCCAGTCATACTTGAAGTTTTCCTGGACAAGCTCTCTTGTGCCTGGAGCCTCTTCACAGGCTGTCTCCCTT